CGATGCAGAGAAGCAGGAACAAGATGTATGAGGACTATGGAGATCGCAGAGGTGGCCAAAGACAGCATAATAATGCTAAACAATTGTCTCAAGGACAAGACGGTGGATGGGAAAAACCAAGGAAACCAGCTGCAAAAAGAGCTTTAGAATTTTCTGGTGAAGAAACGGTTGGAGGATTCCATTATCATTCGGAGATGGGTGATAGTAGCAAACAAAATCATCGGAGAATTGAAAAGAACCAGGTACCCACTTGGGGACAGAAAAAGAGCTTCCCGGGAACTTGGGCTGAAAATAGCGAGAGCTCAGGAAAGGGTGTAGCTAAAGATAGCTTTATAGAAGTTCATTCACAATCCCAGGGAGCAGGATATGGTAGGAAAGGAGCAGGTCCAGCTTGGCCAAAGCCCTTGTACCAGCCCAAATCAGTCTCCAAGGCAACACATGAGAAAGAAAAAACAGAGCAAGAAGATGATCTTAATGATTTGGTAATGGAGGATGTTCCAGAGATGCAAGATAACGATATCAATGCAGGTCTACAGTTTTCGGAGAGTAACGATGACTTATTAGAGGATGGAGAGTGTCATGTGGATGAGGAAACTGACATTCCAGTGACAGAGGAGAAAACTAATGATGATGATGGACAGATTATTCCAGAGGAGGAAAAAAGTGACTCTCAAGGTATTTTTTCAGTCCCTAAAGATTTGTCAAATGATATTGCTTATGTTAGTCAAGGATTGAATGGTATAGTATTGGATAGTAATAAGGTTAAAATAAAGAAAGGATCTAGTATTCCTGGGGCTAAAGGAATTAAGGGTCGAAAGAATTATGGAAAATTGGTGGCTTCACCGGGAAAAAGGTTATTGGCTAATGTAATGTCTACTAAACTTGCAGATGATGTAAGCAATCAGAGAGCTGCGGGTAAGATCAAACCCAAGGAGGGAGCAAAATCTCGAGGTATAAATCGAGGGTCTAAGAAAGGGATGGTGGCTCTTCCGAAACCACCGGCTCATACGTGAAGATATTAAGCTGGAACTGTCAGGGAGTAGGGGCTGATCTGACAGAAAATTACTTAAGGGATTTATGGAGAGAGCACAAGCCGGATATTTTATTTTTATCGGAAACTAAAAGATGTTATTCTTATTTACAAAAATTTCAATCTCAGTTTGGTTATAATAAATTGTTTTCAGTTGACCCTAGCGGTGCTAGTGGAGGCTTAGCTTTATTTTATAATAATGAAATAAAGTTAGAGATTCTTTATGAAAGCAATCGGATTATTGACGTTAAAGCTTTATTCGGGAAACAAGTAGTTTTTATGTCGTTTATTTATGGAGATCCTGTAGCCACAAAACGAGATATTGTCTGGGAAAAAATAACTCAGTTGGGTTTAAACCGGAAAAAACCATGGTTAATGATTGGTGATTTTAATGAGTTAACTAGAAATCATGAAAAAACAGGTGGTAATTTAAGATCAGCTGCGTCTTTTGTTCCTTTTAATTTTATGATTCGACATAATGGTATGTTAGAATTTCCGTGTTATGGTGAACAATTATAATGGAGAGGTAATAGAAACCAACAGATTGTGAGATGCAGGCTTGATCGGGCACTGGGGAATGAGGATTGGCATCACTTGTTCCTTTTTTCAAAAGTGGAATATTTGGATATGATTGGATCTGATCACAGACCGATTATATTGAGTTGTGCAAAATCTTTGGCTAGAAGAAAACGGCAATTTCGATTCGATAAGAGATGGGTTGGAAAGGATAGTCTTGCGGAGGCCATAGATTCATGATTGAATCGCACAAGAAATTTTAGAATTCCAATTTTTGTGGATAAAATTAAAAATTGTAGAAATTCCATTTCTTGGTGGAGGAAAAATAATATCCCGACGGGGCTGGCAAATATTTCTTCCCTTAAGTTGGCTTTGGAAAAAGCGAAGAACGACGATTCGATTCCGCAAGAGGAGATAAAAAGAATCGAAAATAAATTAAAGGAAGCTTATCATGAAGAGGAAATTTATTGGAAACAAAAGAGCAGAAATTTTTGGTTAAAAGTAGGAGATAAAAATACCAAATACTTTCATGCTTCTACAAAAAAAAGAAGGGCGAGAAACAAGATTTCAGGTCTATATGGACCTAATGATGTTTGGGAGGAATCAGAGAGAGGGATGGAGGAGATAGCAACTAATTACTTTAAAGAACTATTTAAGGTTTCCAATACGAATGGCATCGATGAGATGGTAAATGAGGTGTCTCCAATTATTACGGAAACTATGAATAATGAACTAACTAAGGAGGTTACCGAAATAGAAGTAAGGAAAGCTTTATTTTCTATGCACCCAGAAAAGACACCAGGTCCAGATGGTATGACAGCTTTATTTTATCAAAGGTTTTGGCATTCTTTAAAGGAAGATTTGGTAGGATTGGTCAGAGAATTTGTTCGTACTGGAAGTTTTGACAAAAGAATAAATGAAACAAATATTTGTTTAATTCCAAAAACGGAAAGACCTCAGAGGATGGCAGAGTTTAGGCCAATAAGTCTCTGCAATGTGAGTTATAAGATAATTTCAAAATTCTCTGCTTGAGGCTTAAAAAGATTTTACCTGGACTAGTCTCTGAAACACAATCGGCTTTCGTTTCAGGAAGACTTATTACAGATAATATCTTATTAGCTCAGGAGATGTTTCATGGCTTACGGACTAATAGAATGTGTAGAACAGATTTTTTGGCAATTAAAACAGATATGAGCAAAGCGTATGACAGGATAGAATGGAACTTTTTAGAGGCGGTTATGACTAGGTTGGGATTCAATTCTAACTGGGTCTCTTGGATCATGTGGAGTGTTAGTTCGGTCTCATATCAGGTTTTACTGAATGGAGAACCGAGAGGAAATATCATTCCCAAAAGAGGTTTACGCCAAGGTGATCCCCTTTCGCCTTATTTGTTTATTTTATGTACGGAGGTACTTATTGCAAATATTAACAAGGCGGAAAGAGAGAAAAAGCTGATTGGAATTAAGATAGCGAAAAGAAGCCCTGCAATTTCACATTTGCTTTTTGCGGATGATAGTCTCTTTTTCTGTAAAGCGGATACAGATCAATGTAAAACGGTGATGGATATTATTGGGAATTATGGTAAAGCTTCAGGGCAAGAAATCTCAGTAAATCATCGGTCATGTTTGGTAAGCGCGTAGCAACCCAAACAAAAGATCAACTTAAAAACATCCTTGGAATCACTAAGGAAGGTAGAATGGGTACCTATTTGGGTATACCAGAAAGCTTAGGAGGCTCGAAAAGTAAAATCTTCAATTATGTCCGAGAAAGACTTAACGAACGGATTAACGGCTGGTCAGCTAAATTTTTATCCAAAGGAGGGAAAGAAACAATGATCAAATCAGTGGCTGTAGCACTCCCAACCTATGTTATGTCTTGTTTTGAAACTCCCTCAAGAGTTAACTTCTAAGTTAACAAGTGCTATTTCTAATTATTGGTGGAGTTCCAATGGAAGAGATCGTGGGATCCATTGGATAGCTTGGGAAAAAATGTGTAAGGATAAAGAAGAAGGAGGTTTAGGCTTTCACTCCCTAGACATTTTTAATGATGCTATGTTGGCTAAACAGTATTGGCGATTAATCTAATGCCCGAACTCTTTAGTAGCTTGTGTGCTAAAAGGCAGATATTTCAGGAATATTCACCCTTTGCACGCAAAAAAACCAAATTCTCCATCGTTTGGATGGAAGAGCATTTTTTCGACTAAAAGACTAGTTGAAGCGGGAGCTAGATGGTCATTAGGGTCGGGTTTCAACCTATCGGTATGGCGAGATCCTTGGGTTCCTGATGTTATTCCACGTCCCGCAAATGGAAGAGGAAAATCATTCCTTCCAAGTTTAATGGTTAACCATTTAATTAATCCGGTTTCCAAAGAATGGCACCTTCCCATCTTACAAGAATTTTTGGATCCAGTGGATATTCAGCTTATTAGAGGACTGACTATTAGTCAAGTTTATAAACCAGATAGGCTTATTTGGCATCATACAAAATCAGGAAGATATACAGTAAAGTTAGGTTATCGGGTTGCTCGAGAGCTGACAGGAACGATTGAATGGGGCTCAAATTATCAATCATTACAAGCACAAGCTTGGAAAGTCAAAGCCCCTCCAAAAATAAAACATATCTTATGGCAAATTTCATCGGGATCCCTAGCAGTGACTTGAAAATTAGCACATCGAGGATTCAATGTGATATTATCTGTAAAAGGTGTGAGATGGCAGAGGAAACAATAAATCATGCTCTATTTGAATGCCCTCACTCTAAGGAAATATGGGATTGATCCACAATACCTACGGCATCAGGTATATTTCCTTTAAGCTCGGAATATTTAAATCTAGATTATCTTTATCGGAGATTACCTTCTACTCCAGATGGGGGGGAGTTCACATATTGTTATGCTTGGATTTTGTGGTTCATTTGGAAAGATAGGAATAAAAAGGTTTTCAAAGGTTTACAATCAGTACCCATAGATATTTTAAATCATGCTTTGAATGAAAAATTAATGTGGGAAGAAGCTCAATTGGAAACAGTCGAAACTAGCTCTACTAAGGAAGTTTTGGAAAATCCAGTTCAATCAATAAGATGTCGGATTGATGGCTCTTGGAAAGTTTCGGATCCAACTATGGGTATAGGATGGTGGTGTTTTCAAGGAATCGATCAAACGATATTACTCGGTGCAAAGTACCTTCGGAGATGTCCCTCCCCCCTTCATTCGGAGATGGAAGCTTTAATTTGGGCTATGAAAATATTCTTTCAAGAAGGATTGATTGTCAGGTGTTTGAAACAGATTGTTCGGAGTTAGTCTCGATGATACAGTCACCTGAAGATTGGCCCGCTTTCTCCAATCTGCTATATAAGTTTGGTTTGCTCCGTGTCTACTTTCCCTTGTTCTCGCTTTCTCTTATTTCTCGTTTATGTAATGTTAAAGCGGACTGTTTTGCCCGATCTTCTAGACTTTTATTTTCTGAAGTTACTTTTGTAAACACTTCTCCTCCTAGTTGGGCAACCAATCAAAGAGTTATTTATTAATTAATGTGTGGTTGACAAAAAAAAAATAAAAATAAAGAAATGTTATACTACGCATTACTTTTGAATTCACGAGATTTACTTGCAATTTTTAGAGATGGGGGGGGGGGGAGTGGTAGAATTACAAAAATGATGATTTGGAAGTTTTTTTTGTAAAAACTTAGGTTTAGTGGTTTTGATTTAAATGTTTGTAGTCTTTTCTCAAATTGTCTCTTTTTTAGGACTGTTGTCTCCAGATATTTCAACATTTTTCGTTAGCTTAGTTCCGAAGATATTTAATTTTTCCGCTAGCATATGTAAATTTTACCAACTTTTAAATAAAATTTATGATGACAAAATTAAATACTTATAATTAAATATTTGAAAAATAGGAAAGTTACGCAAGTGTAAGAATATTTTTTGAAGGTAAAAATATTTGGATTTTGTTTGATAATTTGTACCCTTCTATTGGCTTGTAATTTTTTTTTTAAACCGGATTTTAACCCATACACCATTTCGCAAAACAGCTTAACTACCGCATGCATCATACTAGAACCAGATTCAACCTCCTCAAATTTATACTAGTCAATAAAAGCCAAGGTTTTCACATCAAAGTAACATGTGCATTATATCAAAATCTATTTCAATTGGAACCAATAATAGGAGAAATAGAAAAATAATTAAGTTAAACATTAGACACATGTCAAAAAAATCTCGTCAATTAGAACTTTAAAATGTGTCATATAATGAGTAGGAATCAAACTTGATTGTAAAACATTATTGGGTTTCAAAAGCCAAAACTAAAGTAAAAACTACATGCTTTCAACCTCTAATGTGTATAGTTCATTGGTTTTGGCTTGTTGGCTGAGACTGTGGGTTGTTTTCTTTTTTGATGTAGTGAGTTTACCACTACCGAATGCCCGAAAAATAGTCTGAATTTCGGTTAACAAAAATGGTTATCCAAAATCTATACTGTTTTGACTTAGGGTTTGATTGTTTGAATTACCAGTTGGAATTATGTTTTGTTGGTTAATAAATTATCACAAGTTGACAACTAATCAATATATGTGCGTAAAACATTTCGTTTTGGTGGGTTCGGTTTTTTTTTTTTTTTTTTTTTTTTGAATTGGTTTTTGTCCACCAAACCCACCCTTACACAACCAATCATTCAATTCGGTTGAACAGATTCGATTCTTGTTCTTAAAGAGATTATGGACTTTGTTTGTTCTTCTCACTTCTCTAGTTTTATACAAGTATGTGTCTTAATTCGGTTTGATCTGATTCCTTGTTCGTTTAAGACAGGTATCCAATTATACATGTAAGGTCAATAACCACAATCAAGATCTAATCCAGTTTTGACTTTCATATATTAGTTTTGAGTTAAAAGACTTATTCAAGTTATGACAAGTTGACAACTTAACATGTTGAATAATAGTGCTTCGAGGATTCAAACAGATAATAATATTGAGAAAAATCATTCGGAAACTCTCTCTACAGAAAAAAGCTTTCTCATGGCGGCTTCTACCTTTTCTTCTTCGTCTTCTTTTGTAGGATTGATTCCATCACGGCCTTTAGTGTTCATCAAGTCACAGGAAGAAGATGTGAGTAAAGGTCTGATCAATTTTCTCGAACCTATCTTAAAAAACGAAAATATAAATGTCTTCATAGACGAAGAAACAGTACGAGGAAAAGATCTAAAGAATCTGTTTAAAAGAATCCAGGACACGAGGATCTCACTGGCTATCTTTTCAGAGTCAAAATGTGATTTTAATGAGCTACGGAAGATCAAAGAACCCGTCGATGAAGCGATTCCTATATTCTACAAGGTAGATGCGATTGGAGACTTGGCTGATCTCCAAAACAGGTATTGTTTCTTTTCCTCTCTTCTTGGTCGAGGGCACGTTGTAGATCTTGATTTTTTTGTCTTTTTTTGAATATTTGGTCTGACCCAAATGGTTAGATGACCCCGTTTCAAACCAGTTACACTCTCTCAATGTTAAGGTGCAAGAAAGATCTCATAAATTCTGCCGTGGAGGAAATGAGTAGATTGCTAGCGAATATTTCTGTGGAAGTAAACAGAGAAAAAGAAGGAAATCACAAATGTTTTATGGTCCCTGCAAGGAAACTTCAGATCAGTCACTCGGAGAAGCTAATAAACTGGACCTGGAGTTCTATCTACGAGGCACCAAAGTGAGTGGTGTATATTAGATCAATTTTAAGTGATTAATGGTTAGTATATAAGTTACACACCCACAAATTTAGGATATTAGTATTTATAAAATTTTACAGAAAAATATATTTTCCATGCCAAGTTATAGAATCATATAGTAATACCTCTGAAATGCTTAAACATGATTTAAATAATACGACGTTCCAAACGATTAAAAAATGACAAAAGATTAGCAAGAAGATATTTACTTAAAATGACTGACACACACAAACTGATAAATGGTCTGGATTTATTTATATAACACCAAAAACAAATAACACTGTATATGTACTTTTCAATAAAATCACTTATATGTGTGAACCATATGATCTATTCTTAACATTGTATAAGATTATTTAAATATATTCTTAACTATAACAGAGTTAATACTTAATAGTAACCTTTTAGATTTTTTATTTATTTATTTTGATATTTATGAAAAATTAAAAATAATCAAAATCATAAAAAAAGAATCAGAATTATTGTTAGTTCTTTTTGGAAATGCTTGTGTTGGGCTAAATATTTTGTTGGCAAGACGAGTTTTGGCATACAAGAACGAATGGTTTTATTCTTTTTTTTTTTTTTTTTTGTTTAAATGGTTTTATTATGTTCAGTGAAGCTGCCATTGAAATTGCGATGTTAAATGAAGTTTATTGGCTACACATGTCTGGAAACTTTCACACAAGAAATCTAACACCTGGGACAAAATATGAGGTTGTGTTTCTGGTGAGTTTAGAGGATACATCTTTTGGATGGGATCAGCCGGTGAATCTGAACTTGAAGCTAATTAATCCAGATGGAACTGAGAGTTTTCAGGAGCGAACAACAAGCTTGGAATGTCACATAGGCGAAAACTGGGTGGATATTCAAGCTGGAGTTTTGGTGGCACCGCCTAGGAATGCGGCCGCAAAGATGACTTTCACCATGTATCAATATGTGACCAGTGACCGGAAGAGCGGGCTCCTGGTCAAAGGTGTTGCTATTCGTCCCATGCCTTAATTAAAGCTAAAGTAAAAACTATATGTTGGATAATTTTATTTATGATTGTGATTACATGTAGTAGACTACTTTTATGGTAAACAATAAATCATCATTTATAATACCCAAGCTAATACCCAAGCTATTCATTTTGATTGAAATCTAACAAATATTAGCAATACAATATACAGTATGTGTTTTATTAAAGTGAATTTCTACATACTTTTAGGTGGGTTCAAATCCTAATATAGATAATAAAATTGAGAAATCATATCGTTTAATAATGCATGCAATGACAGATTACATGACTTGATTATGGTATCCCCGCGTTCGAGAGCTCAATTCTTCCTTGTCTTTGATATGAACAAGTCAACTTCTTTTGGTATCTATTACTCCCTCTGTTTTATATTATTTGTCGTTTAAAGTTTTTGCACGAAAATTAATAAAGCAATTAAATTTTCTATTTTATCCCTATATAATAACACTAAACCAACGTAAAATGATCATATATTAAAATAGAATAAAGTAAAACTCGGTGTTCCACGGACTGGAACCAGTTGCTTGAGGTACTCAACAACAAAACCACTCCACGTCTTCATTTATTTCTGATCAGGTATGTATTCCAAGCCACCATTTATCACATATGGCGAGAGAGGAATGCAAGAAGGCATGGAGAAATGCAATCTCCGCAACTTCGACTCATTAAACTCATCGACAAAAACGTTCGAAACCGCTTAAGCTCAATCAAAGCCGCGGGAGACCACCGCTATGACGACAGCCTCAAGCTGTGGTTCTCCACCCGCCCAACTCAACAAACAAGCTCGTGACTACAGTTTCAAATCCCATTCTGATTTCTCTGTAATGTTTTTAAATTCTTCAAAACACTGAAGCATTCATTGTACAAAAGGTTTTTTGGTTGAATATAATTTTACATTCAATTTAAAAAAAAAAAAAAAAAAACTCGTTGTTAATGACAAAACATTCGTAGTTTAGTCTGGTTTATTTATGTTGATCAAGGTCATAAATTGATTATGATTTGATGTATCTGTGATATGTTCACCAGCTACATCTGTTAATAGATTAGTCTGAGTTATCTCTTTAACCAAAATACCCATCACTTATGAACATACTCGGAATTGACCTTTAGACGCTCAATGGACCAATTCAAATTTCGAAGACAAGCTATAATCTGTTATAATAAACTACATGTTGACAACTTACATATTAAAAATATTTCAAGCATTCAAGTTTATAAGGACGTTGGATTAGTTTATCGTTCAAAGCATCTTGACAAAACACAGAAGGTCAAACAATTTATCAACAAAAACTCTCTTTCTGCGTTTTCCTCAAAGAAGATCTTTCATGGCTTCTTCTTCCTCGGTTGTGAAACCCACCCCAACGGGGCCTCAAGTGTTCATATGCTTCCGGGGAGCAGATGTCCGATCACACTTCATAAGCCATCTTGACCCTGCCTTGAGAGAAGCGAATATAAACGTCTTCATAGATGATGACGAGTTTTTGGGCACAGATTTGGTTAACCTTTTGAAGAGGATAGAAGAGTCAGAGATCGCGCTAGTGATCTTTTCGGAGGATTTCACAAGTTCGTATAGGTGCTTGGATGAGCTGGCCAAGATCAAGGAATGCAAGGATCAAGGCCGTCTCATAGTGATTCCCATCTTCTACAAAGTTAAACCTTCCGTTGTGAAATATCTTAAAGGAAATTTTGGCGATAATTTCAGGGAACTAGAACGCAATAATCTACACATGCAACAAAGAACTCAGAAATGGAAGAAAGCTTTAGTGTCTATCCCGGAATCAAAAGGGATGCCAAGGGCAGAACAAAGGTTATTTTTATGTTCTTTTGGCCAAGTATAGATACATCTAGCTAAAGTATCCCTAAAATTATACATCAAGAACCTAATAAACAGTTTGTTTTTGATATCTCTTACTTGTATGGTATGACAGTGAGAAGACCGATAAAGACTTCATAACCTCAATGGTCATCAAGATTCAAGAATTACTGGATTATATGGCTGCCAGAAGAAACAAAGAAATAGAAGCGAATCGTCAAGGAGTTTCCATCGTCCCTGCAAGGAAACCAAAAGCAGAAGCGAATCCTCAAGGAGGTTCCGTGGTCCCTGCTGCAAGGGAGCAAGAAAGAGAAGCGAGTCATCAAGGAGGTTCCGTGGTCCCGTCCATGGTCCTTGCAAGGGATTTAGTAATCACTCATTTTGATAAACCTCAAAGATGGACTTGGAGTACTATCAACGAGGCACCAAAGTAATATTCTAGTCTCTTTTTAATGGATCCTAAAAATCACTTATTTGTCATTTTTTTTTGTCAACAACTTTATTGGACTAATTCAAATGAGCTTAACTCTAAGAGATCGATATTGTTTACATATGTGATATAAGTAAGCAAAGATAAGGAGAAAAGAGAATTCTTCCTTATAGTAGTATGTCATTTTTCTCATATGAAAAAAATAAATAACAGTTTATGAAAGCTAGCTGATCAGGATTTAGGCCCTTTTAACTAACATTTATTTATGTATAATTTATAGAAATAAGTTTTGGGTTCGTTCATCTTTTTTAGTAATTACAACCATTTATCAAGTTATTGTGATTAAATTCGTGAAACTAGTTGCGATATTTTATTCTTTCTAAAAATTTTTTGTGAATCTGGTCCTTTCTATTTCTCATCTATGTTTGATTTAATTATGTTTGCAGCTCTGCGGAAATTGAGATTGCGACGTCGAATAAACTTTACTGGCTTAAAATAGTGGGAACAATAACTACGGAGAATCTAACACCAGGAACTAAGTACGAGGCTGTATTCGTAGTGAAATTAGAAATTAATGCTAGTGGATGGGATATACCAGTGACTCTAAAGCTGAAGGTGGTACAACACGATGGGGACGATGATCGGGTGGATCGAACAGAGAACTTGAACGATTACATAGGCCAGAACTGGGTGGATATTTTGGCCGGAGTTTTCGTGGTTCCGCCAAAAACCACTCCCGCAACGATCATTTGCACCATGTATCAGTACGCGGACGAGTATAAGAAAAAGGGACTCGTCGTCAAAGGTCTTGCAATACGTCCCACGAACTAAGGCGCGCGTACAAGCAAAAGGATATATGATCTTTCTTGTTGTCTAATATATGTATTTGAAAAATGAAACACTGGTCTGTTTTGTTAACAAGTGAATTGTTGTTCTTCTTTTTTTTTTTGGGTATTCTGTTGTTTGAAGTTCTGATAAATTTTTATAATTTTATTTTTTAAATCTTGATGGTATGGTTCTACGAGAGACTAATGAGGCTCCAATCTTACAAGTAAAGTTTACACGGACACATTATTTTTTGCTTTTATACTGGTGATATATACATATGGACACATTAAGTTTTAACAAAATTAAAATTGTATTAAATAACATCATACTTTAGGCTTCACTTATAATATTTGGCGTGGTTTAGGTTTAAAATTTTAATTTGTGAAGTTAGGGGAAGAGACAACATATGTGTGCACTATATTATGGTATTGTATATCACCCATGAAAAAAAAAAAAATTATCTATTTGGATTACTGATTGCTGGACGAGCCATATTCACTGAGCAACATAAATTGATTACCCCTTTCTCTTCTCCCTTTTGTTTCAGAATTTAGCTAGCAGCCGAGGCTGAACACAAAACCTACGTTAGATTTTAGTATATATCCAAATGTATAATATTTCCTTTGTTTTATAAAGGTTTGCAATGGCTAACCAAGCTTGTATTTTTTTGTAATTCACAGTTTTAGCAAAATAATAGTACGTACACCTAAAACCGTCTCATAATGATACTTACTATGCATTGTCCGGGAAAATAAACCAACCCATGATCATGATTATGAGAGTTATGATCACTGAAATAGCCTTTCACATGATGAATTGAATGACGGATGTGTTTAAAAATGCTTTAACATGCGTAATGAAAATGTCACTGTAGCGTCTCACATATTTTTATTTTAAATAATATTGTTCTTAATAATTTGCTTTTTAATCTGTATACTCTACTCAAGTCTTAATCGATTAAATATTACACAAATAACAATATTAAATTTCCATAAACCATGACATCTTTAAATCAAATGGTTTATGCAATGACATACCAATATACCATATGACTTGATTATTGTCTCACCGCGTTCGAAAGCTCAGTTTTCAATTATATATGAAGGTATATATGATTGTATGAACAAGTCCAATTATCTTGTTTTACTATGGTACGCATTCGCTGCTGCAATTTTTAATCTGCCACTTGAGATTTTATTAAAGTAGCCTATGGAAAGACTTTATGAACTAGGGAAGTCTTGTTGACTTGGATTATAATTTGAGGAAAGACTTTGGGGGACGACTCATGCAAACCAATCAAATATACACCTTGCAGTAAAACTCGGTTTTGTGACCAAATAATATTAGTTTAGTTTATCGTTGACGAAAATTAAATTAGTTTAGTTTATTTGATGTTATCTGTTAACCAACTTGCATACGTTACTAGTTTATAAGATTAAAAAAAGAAAAAAAAAACTACATACGTTACAAAATTAGTTATCTATACATTGTTTTGACCGAAGGAGGTCGATATGATTAAAAGACAAATTCAAATTGAGACAAATAGTAGTGTACAACGATAATGTAAAAATTAATGTATGATACTGATGTAAGAAGTGATATACTAGATATAACTACAAAGTGGTGTATAAACTACACTCTATAATAGTGTACAACTATATAAATACGATATATGGTGTACATGAAACAATGAGATAGTGGATCTCACCATACACCACCTTGGGCACCGTCTACAACATCGTACACCTTTACATATTTTGTACATCACGTCTAGAAAGAGAGGACCATTTTTGTCGAGTGTTATTATACAAAACGATATTTAAATGATAGTGTACGGGATTAGTGTACGGGATTAGTGTACAAACAAGTGTACATTAATCATGTATATCATCATATTACTTATATACCATCATGTTCAATTTAATGGTATACACCATCATGTACACCATTATATTTAGTATAACTTTGGGTGTACATTGCCATCATGTTTGTATAAATATTTTGAATAATTATCACTATTATTATCATTACTTCAATTAACAAGTACTAGACAAATATGTATCTTAGATGGTTTACGAGATTTTATATATATATCGGTGTATGAAATAAATTGGTGTATAATTATTAGTGTACAAAACGTTGTTTTAAATGCGGGTGTACCAAATTGGTGATGAAAAAATATACAAATAATTATAAAAAAATCTTAATAAAATAAAAAGAATTAGCAAAAATGTTGAAAAGAAAAGAAAAAAAGTGGTCCCTCACCAAAAATTATCTTTCACAACACAAAGGATAGAGTGGTATTTGACACTTAATTTGTTTTTAGCCTATTACAAATATCTATTTATCTCACAAAAGCAAAAACAGTGTCTATTTATCTAATTTTTTTAAAAAATTACCTACTTTTCAAATTATTTTTGAAAAAATGTCAACTTTGCCAAAAAGGCCATTCAAATTTCCAAAGACAATTTTTGTGATCTATGTTAATAAACTACATGTTGAAAAGTTAGATATTACATTATTTCGAGCATTCAAATATATATAAGGACGTGTGATTAGCTTTAACGTTCAAAGCATATTGACAAGACACTAAAGGTCAAAGAACAATCAACCAACACAATCGCTTTACCTTCCCCAAAAAAGTTTTCTTATGGCTGCTTCTTCTTCTGTGAGACCAACCACAACGGGACCTCAAGTGTTCATCAACTTCCGCGGAAAAGATGTGCGCAACGGCTTCTTAAGCTTTCTTGAGCCTGCCATGAGAGAAGCTAACATAAACGTCTTCATAGACAAGCACGAAGTGGTGGGCACAGATCTGGTTAACCTTTTTGTTAGGATCCAAGAGTCAAGAGTCGTGGTGGTGATCTTCTCTAAGGATTACACAAGTTCGGAATGGTGCTTAGATGAACTGGCCCAGATCAAGGATTGCATTGATCAAGGCGGTCTCAATGTGATTCCCATCTTTTACAAACTTGCACCTTCCTCCGTGGAAGAACTCAAAGGAGGCTTTGGCGATAGTTTCAGGGTTCTAAAGTGCAAATACAAAGACGAGCCTGAAAGAACTCAAAAATGGGAAGAAGCTTTAAAGTATATTCCTAAAATAAAGGGCCTGACCTTGTCAGAAAAAAGGTTGATCTCTTATCTTTTGCTTCGTTATTCTAGAGTGCAAATCTATACTAATCTCCGTTCGTTAAATAAATACACCTAGAATATTATGTTGTTGGTATGACCAAAGTATGTAGCTGTTCGGCCTGAGGGGATGTAGGTATATATATATATGTGTGTAGCTATTTCTTGTAGAACACGGAACCAAGTAACAGAAAAGACAAGTTTATTTACATCTCTCACTCGTATTGTTTGACAGTGATAGGAACGAAAGAGAGTTCATTTATGAAACGATTTTCGAGATTCAGAGATCGCTGTCACAAATCGCCGTGAAGGGAAACCCGAAGTTAGAATCGAATTCACTAGGAGGATTTATGGTCCCTGCAAGGAGACTTGTCATTACTCACGCTGAGAATCCTGAAAAATGGACCTGGAGTGCTATCTACGACAGACCACAGTAAGAATTTATTCAATGGAAAACTAAACTTTTTTTTTTTTAATTCAACTTGGAGTACTATATTTTCAAAAATCATTTCATGAAAATTCAACACAAGATATATGATGTGTAATCATTTGATTACTTTTTTACATAATTTCTTGTAATAATGAAACTTTCATTTTTTTTTTCAGCAAAGCAGACATCGAAATTGCAACGATGATTAACACTCACAGCTTGATAAAAATAAACGGAGATTTTCACACGAGAAAATTGATACCGGGGAAAAAGTACGAGGTGGTGTTTCTTGTGAGGCTAGATGATACATCTTTGGGATGGAAGAATGACGTGACCCTGACGCTGAAGCTGGTCATGGGTGATAAAACCGGAAATGAGAAAGAGAAAAAGTTGTGCTTGGACGAATACATAGGAGAAAATTGGGTGGATATTCTTGTCGGAGAATTTGAGGCGCCGCCAAAGAAAGATGACGCAAAGATCTTTTTCTCGATGTCTCAGTATGTGGACACTGACAAGAAGAGTGGTCTTGTTGTCAAAGGTTTTGCAATTCGTCCAGCGTAGTGAGGCACAAAAGCAAAGCATATTGGATCAAATTTCTGTTTTAACTATATTTATAGAACTTCATTTCAAAATAAGTTCAATGCAGGTCAATTTCTGGTTTAAAGTTTGTACTCTTTTTTTTTTTTTTTTTTTTTTTTTGTAAGTCAGAGTCTGTACTTTCTTGTTTTTGTTTTGGTACGTACTGTTATGTTTTAAAAACATTTATGTCTTTATTTCAGTCAATAACATGTTTAACCATGTTTTATAAGAGTGTACACTTATAGTGATGTGAAAACGGATAGTAGCTGCCAAAAGTTTTTTCAAGCATGCAAAGAAGAGATTGATTCTATCAACAAAAACAATACATGGTTTCTAATTGATAAACCGAGTGAGACAAAAGTTATTGGTCTCAAGTGGATTTTCAAAATCAAGAAAAATGTGGATGGTACTATCAACAAGTATATAAGGCACGGCTTGTAGCTAAAAGATATGTACAAGAATCCGGTATAGATTTTGATGAAGTTTTTACACTGGTTGCACGTAGAGAAACCATAAGATTATTGATTGCATTGGCGTCGTCACATGAATGGGAAAGTCATCACTTAGATGTGAAAACAACATTCTTACATGGAGAATGTGTCGAAGATGATCAAATCAAAGTGGAGCATGTATCCGGAGAAGAACAATGTGCGGATATACTAACGAAAGTCTTAGCGAGAATCAATTTTAAGAAGATGAGAAGTTTGATTGGAGTGCAAGACCTCTCGAAGAGTAACTTGAAGCTTAAGGGGGTGGATGTTGGATAATCTTCAATGTTAGCTTCAAGCCCAAGATATCTTTACCAAGTTGAGTTAGGATAAGATAGGCTTGATATAGTTATGATAGGATTAGGAGTTATCTAATTCAAGTTCAAATATGATTAGCAAGATGTGCTAACACTAGAAATATAATTGTTGAGGTGTGACAATTATATCAAGAGAGAACATTAAAAGTTTAGAGGTGTTTAGTTTTGAGAGAGTTTC